TGAACCCAGATCAGCTCATTTACACACTACTGAACCCAGATAAACTCATATACACTCTACTGAATCAGCTCCTATATACACTACTGAACCCAGACCAGCTCATTAACACACTACTGAACCCAGATAAACTCATATACACTCTACTGAACCCAGACCAGCTCATTTACAAACTACTGAACCCAGATAAACTCATATACACTCTACTGAATCAGCTCCTATATACACCACTGAACCCAGACCAGCTCATTAACACACTACTGAACCCAGATAAACTCATATACACTCTACTGAACCCAGACCAGCTCATTTACAAACTACTGAACCCAGATAAACTCATATACACTCTACTGAACCCAGACCAGCTCATTTACAAACTACTGAACCCAGATAAACTCATATACACTCTACTGAATCAGCTCCTATATACACCACTGAACCCAGACCAGCTCATTAACACACTACTGAACCCAGATAAACTCATATACACTCTACTGAACCCAGACCAGCTCATTTACACACTACTGAACCCAGATAAACTCATATACACTCTACTGAATCAGCTCCTATATACACCACTGAACCCAGACCAGCTCATTAACACACTACTGAACCCAGATCAGCTCATATTCACACTACTGAACCCAGACCAGCTCATTAACACACTACTGAACCCAGAAATCAGCTCACAAACACTACTGAACCCAGACCAGCTCATTTACACACTACTGAACCCAGATAAACTCATATACACTCTACTGAATCAGCTCCTATATACACAACTGAACCCTGATCAGCTCATATACACTCTACTGAATCAGCTCCTATATACACTACTGAACCCTGATCAGCTCATATACACTCTACTGAATCAGCTCCTATATACACTACTGAACCCAGATCAGCTCATATTCACACTACTGAACCCAGATCAGCTCATATTCACACTACTGAACCCAGATCAGCTCATATTCACACTACTGAACCCAGATCAGCTCATATACACACTACTGAACCCAGACCAGCTCATATACACTCTACTGAATCAGCTCCTATATACACTACTGAACCCAGATCAGCTCATATTCACACTACTGAACCCAGATCAGCTCATATTCACACTACTGAACCCAGACCAGCTCATATACACTCTACTGAATCAGCTCCTATATACACTACTGAACCCAGATCAGCTCATATTCACACTACTGAACCCAGATCAGCTCATATTCACACTACTGAACCCAGACCAGCTCATATACACACTACTGAACCCAGATCAGCTCATTTACACACTACTGAACCCAGATCAGCTCATTTACACACTACTGAACCCAGATAAACTCACACTCTACTGAATCAGCTCCTATGTACACTACTGAACCCCGATCACATGACTCATACATGAATCTCTACTCATGGAGTTCTGGTGTAATGTTTATTGCACTATTGCATGATGTTGATAAAGGAAACATTCTTTCCCTTTATTTTCTTGTTTAAAATAAATAAAAACAGTACATAAGTCCCAATAAGATCATAAGTAATCTAATTAAAAAAGAAAGAAAAAGTAATGAAAAAAGTAATAACGCATTACCTAAAGTGGAATGTAATCTACTACCCACATCCCACAATGTCATAAAATGTAATTCCTAGCGATAGTTGTCACATAATTTGCAATCAGTAATGGATAAGTTTGCATAATACAAGAGACTATTTATGATAATAATACCCATATGAAATATAATTGCGCTGACCCCGCCCCATTTTGACTGACGGCACATAACCGAATCTGTTTTAAAGTGCCGAGCCGACTACACGTTATATATCGCACATTTCTATAGAAACTGGTTAAAATGTCAGTGTTTGTGAAACCCTGCTGCCCCCATACACACCCACACCCCCCCACACACACACCCCCCAGCTGAAGATAAGCGGAACTCGGCAGTTCCGAGAAGCGCAGGCGGGCGCGCGGTTTGGCCAGATAAAGCTACCGAGAAAAACCCCACCGACAAACAGGAACTTTATTTGCGTTCAATTAACTATAAATAAGTACACAAAATAAAACGAAATAAAACAGACTGTGGCAACTTATATCACTATCAGAAGCGACAAATTGTATAGAAGGAAGATTATAGCTAATATTTAGTCTACAAACTGACATCACGTGACTATTTACTCTGAAATCAGACATCTTAACTCATTTTATGGTATAATACTTACTTAATATTGTATTCTACTGATGAGCTGATCAAAGCTTTTTTTAAACGTTCAAGTTACTATAAATAAGACTGCATCCATAAAACTGACAACTTATAACATTATCAGAAACAATGCAAATAAATAGAGATGCATGCAACTACACTGCATAGAAGCCAAATAATCACCGCGAATATATAAAATTAACATATAAACTGTGACATCACGTGACTTAAATAGCCGTATCGGGAGCGCGCATGCGCGCGTCTTACCTTTGTATGCGATCTGGTGCTTCAAGAGAATCTCCCCGACGACGCGCCTCATTGTCGGCAGCGCGCTGTTGTGGTTCTGCTCGGGTGAACACATTCCCGTGTGTGAGCGATAGAAGTCCAGCAGGAGTTGTCGAGTATCACGGTCCAGTTCTGCGGACCCGAGCTCGGCTGAGTCCGGAGTGGACGGGAGAGAGCCGTCGCAAGCGGACACGAAGCGCCCGTCGAGCTGGAGGCCTTTGGTTCCGTTCGTTCCCGGCCTCACCGGCTTTAACGTGGAGTCCATCTCATCCGCGCACCCGTCCAGCTCGTCCTCGGTGTGCGTTTTCAGCGAGGGCACGAGCGTCGTATGCGCGCCCTGTGTGAAAAAGCTCATCGCCGTCGCTCGCTTCATTCCTAATGTCAGAGTCATAATTACGCTTACAAACAGAAAAACTTAAATACGATAAAGATTGAAGTTTAAAGGGTGAAGGTTAAGCTTGAACGGCGGTTATAGTGCTCGTGATGGTCGACACTCTTGTGTGAGTGAAGCGGAAGTTGACGGAACAACGATGGGTTTTATACTGTGCGTATGACGTGTCCGTCTGTCACTTCCGTAACCCCGCCCCTAATATCCATATATGGTCTTCCTCTAGAACTTCCTAGGAAATTCTTAAAACTGACTGAATGGAATATTTCACCTTAAGGTCAGAAATGTTTTAAAACCACGTATTCGAAATTTTGTTGGGTTACAGTGAAAATATATATTTTGTATAAGTTATTATTAATTTAATGTTGATTCTGGTGAATTCTTTAAATAACTTAAACTCAGATTAGTGAAATACAGGCCTAATGCAAAGTAATTCAGTCAAATCATGGAGGAGCTGAACCCGACCCTTTGCCCTCTGACTCACGCCAGCTTTACACTCAACACTACGCCACACACACACTTACTGAATAGATATCATTACTTTCTGGTAACGAAAACCTTCCGAAGGAACTCTTTAGAATTTACAATATTATAACAATTATGGGTAAATACAAATGGCAAAATAAAAATCCATCCATAATAGTGTTTAAAATTGAACTGAGGGAATACTTTGTTTCTTTGAAACTTCTGAAAGACTTCAATTTACTCTCTATGTGAAGATGTCTCAAAATATTTGTCATTATAATTTGTAAAGCTTCCATGTAACTTTATTTTATGATTATATGAAGACTGAGGACAATATATTTATATGTGAATAACTTTGACATGCCTTATGGACTGAAATGCCTTTGCTTAATTGATTTAATTTTAGGTTTATTTGTTTTTATTTTGTTTTTTGAATTTTGTTCAATGTAACTGTTTAATTATGCACATGAGTCTCCCAACGAGAGATTTTGTAAATTTTTTTTTTTTTTTTGTAAATAAGTGTGTTCAATAAAAAAAAAAATCCTGCATGTGCGAAGAAAAAAAAAGATATCATTACTTCTGTCAACTGTTTTCAATTAAAAAAAGCTCAATGTTGCTGTCACTACAGAGACCTCTGGTGGATATTGGCCTTCTATGATTATACATGACAATGTAAATATATGTTTGAATTATTAATATTCACGCGAGCACAGAACTCAGAACACATTTTTTTAAAAACTATCATAAAATTCTTCACTCCAATATTTTACACACAAAGCCTACATTTTAAAAAATATATTTGTTTTTTTTTACAGAACATTTCACTCTCTCGTACTCTAATATAAAACACACTCTCTGATGTCAAGACTCACTACATATCATTACACTTTCTGATGTTCTTTGTTCATTGTAATCTTTATAGTTGTTTCTCAAGGCTAAATGAAGATTTGTCTCAGCCAAATCTAAACAATGTGTTAGTTATGGCTATCATATTTAATATTATCCTCCAGAATGGAGACTCTGGGTCTCGGTCATACACTATCATAAGGATATGTATGGACACTGCATTCATCTAATTATCATCATATTTCTAAGATTCTATAAATATAATTAAATGCCAACATGAAGAACATATTACATTTCTTCCACATTATGCTCTTAAATAATAGTAAACGTTTATATGTATTTATCCGTCATGCAAAACAAAAGGTTATCTACACTTTAAAGTGTTTATGCATCATGGTAGCGTTTATCGCACCTTTCATTTTTGCAGATTTAATCAAACGCATTACCACAATTAATTATTATTTTTATCTTTTATAATCTAACCATCATGAAAATGACGCCACACTCCTACATAACAATATAATTATACATCAGTCACAGTATAACATCATCAGCCGGTGACAGAAACACTTCAAAATCTCTCTTTTCCTCCAAAAGATATGAAGTTATTAAAGTGCAGGAGAAGTCTGGGTGTTATTAGTTCATCTGAGGTAAAAACAGTCAACTGAAACAACAGATAGTTTTATTCACATTTATACAGGATTATTTGATGAAGAGAAAGTTGAACGGTGTTTATTTTGAAATAGAACATTTTGTAACATTAAAAATGTCTTTACTGACACGTTTGGTCAATTTAATGCGTCTTTTTGAAATCTTACTGACCCTAAACTGTTGAGTGCTAGTGTGATGGTGACGCGTATAAACACACGTTACTCATCGACTGGACTGGACTGGTTTGGGACGCGCCCTGCTCGTTTCGTCAGCTCTCTCTCTCAGCCCAGCCCTAGTGAATCTCCCATTAGGTTTGATCTGCATCTTCAGTGTCTGGATCTCCTCTAGAGGTTTAGATCCCTCAACTACCCGAAATTAAAAACCGCCGGGTTTTTCTCCCAGATTTGGATATTTTGCCTCTTCAGACAGTATTGGGTTACAGATCTTTTCCAAAGAATCCTGCAAATACACATTTTTTAGACATTTCATTATATTTATTTTAATTTGATATTTTACAGTTCATATATCGCTTTAAAATTATAATATTTTCCTGTGAAACTGATTTGAAACTATCTGTAGCCTATTCTATAAAGCTGTTTTGAAACAATCTTGTTAAAAGCGATATACACTTGATACAAGCAAAAAGTGTTTACATTTGACAAGCGGAGAATATATACAACATGTTCTGTATTATCTCTTTTTGTGTACCGAATTATCACTATGCACTAATAAAAAGGACAAACACCGACCAATAGGAGTCCATTCTATGTGACTGATGGACTGATAGACCAATCAGAGCAAGGATATGCTCGCAGAGTGGGCGTGACTTCGGCGAAGACCCGTTAAATCACGATTTCTTTTTTAAAAAATTTTTTCGTGTCTTAACAACAGTAAATACCTGTTAAAGTTGCGGGTCGGTTTTAAACGACTGGCTGTGTGTGTTTGTGTCGCTTCACTGATGATCGCCGCGGCGGTACCTGCTTCTCTTCGGACCCCGCTGCAGGGAGTCCGGGCCCGGGTTCAGGGACATGATGATTCCCCGCGGCAGAAACACTGGAAATAAAACAATCATTAACTAATAATAATATGATAAAAATGTAAGTCAGAGTCAAAGAGCACAGAGCAGCAGTCGCGATATATACTTCTTCTTCTTCTTCTTCTTCTGTTGTTGTTTAAATGGCGGCTGCCAAACCATCTAAAAGCTGCATGAGCGCCACTGCTGGATCTGAGGGTGAAGCGCTACTCGGTGGAAAACACTGTTTAGACAGAGAGAGAGAGAAAAAAAATTATATATATATATATATATATATATATATATATATATATATATATATATATATATATATATAAATTACCAGACCTGTAAAATTTAAAATGTGCAATAATTCCTCATGTATTATATATTTTGTTCCTTCTCCTACTGTTTCCTTTGGCGAATAATTGCTTATATCCTTTGACTGAACTAAATTAAGTCTTTCTCTATTGTATGCTGTACATTCTAGAAATATATGATTTACTGTTTCTGAATATCCACATTTATCGCAGTTACCAGTTTCACGTTTACCTATTTTATATAAACTTTGATTTAGTGCTGTTTGCCCAATAAGTAATCTTGGCATTCTCACATCATTTTTCCTGTTATTAACAGCTGTTCGTCCCAATTTTTTTATTTATATATCTGTATCCTTCTTATACCCACCATTAAGATGTATAACATATTTCAAAGTACCATTAATCTCATCATTACAGACCAATCTCGTGAAAGCGGAATGTGTGTGTGTGTGTGTGTGTGTGTGTGTGTGTGTGTGTGTGTGTCCGCCGCGTGATGGCGCTGTTGCGGCGTTTGCCATTTTATTATTCAATAAACCTTCTAAAACAGTCTATGCCTAAAACATACATAATGCTTGTAAAGTTCATACAACATACATTTATTAAAACCCCAAAATGTAATAAAAACATTGAATGCAGTATGCATCATACAGTGATATGTTTATAAATATATAGGCTAGTATACTTTAAATAAGGCTATGTGTCTATAAAAAGGTGCAAGGTTTGAGGTAGCCGAAATAAAGGGAAAATGACAACATTTAATTGAGAATCGCCCGTTTTTATGAAATTCGTAACCATAAAGCCCGATTTCTTCGCCAATGGCATCGCACAATGTTACTAAACTGGTTCGGTCCCATTTTTTAAATGTGTAATAAAAGCCGACGGTATTGATGTGGATCCTGAATCCGGGTGACAGAACAGGTGTGTGCGTCGAGAGTCCTGATTGGAGGAGAGGCCCCGGAGCTGCTCCTGGTTGGCTGAGAGGTCAGAGGGGCGTGTCCACAGGTGAAGCGCAAACTCAGGGAAGTGACCGCAGTCGCGAGTCAGAAATCTCACATTGGACTGACATTGTCTTTTTGATGACAAAATAGCAGATGTGGTGAGTGTATGAAAATGTATATTTATTATATGTAAATGTATATGTATAATATGTATATGTATTATATGTAGGCTATATTTATAATATGTATATATATATATATATGTATTATATGTATTAAATGTACATGTATTATATGTATATGAATTATATGTGTGTATATGTAGCTTGTATATGTTAGAGACTGCTGAAGCTGAACTGCTTTGCTAGAATCTTCATCATCATTATTCCTGTGTTAAAAATGGAAATCTGAAGTATGTCTTTCCAGATTGAGTAAAAGTGTGTGTGTGTGTTTGCGCAGGTTGTGTTAGCAGGAGGAATGACCACTTTGACGAAGCGCATCCGGCGTGTGGAGACTCCAGCGGATGGAGGGAGTAACGCTGAGGAGAGGGAGGAGAAGAAGAGAGACGAGGATGAAGAAGAGATCGACACCGACTCCAAATCACTGAGACTCACTCTGATGGAGGAGATCCTGCTGCTGGGACTCAAGGATAAAGAGGTTACACACACACACACACACACACACACACACACACACTAACCTGACCCCTAAACCTACCCATCACACACACACACACACTAACCCGACCCCTAAACCTAGGGGTCTAGGGGTCGGGTTAGTGTGAACACAGTCATCATCTGTTCATTGATTGGACAGATGAGTGTTCCGTGTTCATTGATTGGACAGATGAGTGTTCCGTGTTCATTGATTGGACAGATGATTGTTCCGTGTTCATTGATTGGACAGATGAGTGTTCCGTGTTCATTGATTGGACAGATGAGTGTTCCGTGTTCATTGATTGGCCGTCGGATGTTCTGCCAGAGACCGCGTGTGATCCTGTAGTGTTGACTTTCACTGGCTTCCTTCGTTTAATCATTCACTGAACCGGCTGTTTTATTCACAGACTGTTTGTGTTAGAATGTTGCAGCTGCTTTACGATGTTACACACTTTATTTACACAATAACAACGGTTGCTACTAAATGAAAGTGGAAAAGCTAGCGATAGGATCAAATCACATCACAGTATAAGACAATTTTCTAGAACTTTTCTCTCTCTCTGTAGGTGTTATATCATCTGATGAATTTGTGTAATATTTAGTTGTGTTGCTGATCTGTGTGTGTGTGTGTGTGAGCGCAGGGCTACACGTCCTTCTGGAACGACAGCATCTCGTCGGGTCTGCGCGGGTGTATTCTGGTGGAGCTAACGCTACGAGGACGAGTTCATCTGGAGCCCCCGAGCTCACGCCGCAGGAAACTGCTGGACCGCAGGGTGAGCGCACACACACAGATGCATTCTGGGCACTAACACGATTAACATATTGTTAGCATGATGCTAACATGATTAGCATATTGCAATAATGCTTTTAACGAAATGAGAAGATTAATGTGATGTTAGCATAATTAGCACAATCTAACACGATTGGCATGTTGCTTGTATGATGCTAACATGATTAGCAAGCTGTTTGCATGATGTTAACACGATTAGCATGAGGATAACACAATTAACATGTTGTTAGCATGTTTTAACAAGATTATAACACTATTAGCATGTTCTTTACAAGATGACCACACGATTAGCATGTTGCTTGCATGATGTGCCATGTTGTTAGCATGATGCTAGCACACGTTTGACTTTTTAATCATGTTTTTTAACCTTCAGCTAATTGCTATTAGCATGTAGCTATTCATTGTTAGCATGTGTAGATGATCAAGACACATTTATGATTATTATTATCAGTGAAAGTAGTGATACTGCATCAGATTGAATGATTTCCATCAGTAATAGCTGTGGATAGTCTTCGCGCTGTTCTGTAATCTCTCGGCGTTCAGCAGAAACACGGATGCAAACACACACCTGAACACACCTTCTCTCTGAATGCAAACGGGTGTGTGTGAGGATTCCTTTATAGTCTCATTATCTCCTGAGTGCGTGTGATGTCTCCAGACCGGCTCGACCGGCTCGTCCACAGAGGAAAGCTTACGTTTCCTTATTTACTTTAGGCTGCATTATAGGAGACTGCCATTTTACTCAAAATTTCATTTGCGGGCATTTTTTTAAAAACAACAAAATTCTAGATTTTCTAACAAATATGTAATTGCTAAATATTTTGATTTGTTATTTAAAAACAGTAACTCTACATACTTTTATTTAATTATTAAAATGTTATTATTATCATTTACTTATCCATATCCACATCTACATGGACTACATTTCCCAGAATGCACTGTCCAGATGCATCAACCCCTTTATGATCATCTGCTGGCTGTGTGTGTGTGTTAACTGAGCCCCGTTTGTCTTTCATTGCTGAGTCGTGTGTGTGTGTGTGAGTTAGGGTCTCACAACTGCACATTTTGACCCTTTTCGCCTCATTTATGGGATAAATAAAAATTGTCAAAGCTTCAAATCAATTGGTTTGCAAAATAATTCACTGTCGAAGTGTGTGAGGCTCGCCTCGCCGGCGCCCCCTGCTGGACAACACAAGCCATACACGCAGAAAATCTGCTTTTGAATGCTAATTGAACGTTTCCTGAAGTCACGTGACTGCCAGGCTGATGACACACAAGCTCATGGTTATTAACTGTGTGTGTGTGTGTGTCGTGCAGGTGTTGTTCAAGTCGGCGGCTCCCACCGGTGATGTTCTTCTGGATGAAGCGCTGAAACACATCAAGAACACAGAACCACCAGAGGACGTGTCCAGCTGGATCGAGCTGCTCACAGGTGACACACACACACACACACACACACACACTCACACTCTCCTATACACACACACACACATATAAATACATATATATATATACACACATACTCACACTCACTGGAAACAGCGAGATCACAAGCGAACATGATAAAAGCGACGGTTTGCTGGCATTTCTGTTGTGTGTGTGTATGTGTATGTGTGTGTGTGTTTCCTGTGGTGTGTGTGTCTGTCTCTGATACAGTGTGTGTGTGTGTGTTCAGGCGAGACGTGGAACCCGCTGAAGCTGCACTATCAGATGCGTAACGTGCGCGAGCGGCTGGCGAAGAGTCTGGTGGAGAAGGGCGTGTTGACGACGGAGAAGCAGAACTTCCTGGTGTTCGACATGACCACACACCCGCTGACGGACGGCGCGGAGAAGCAGCGGCTCGTGCGGCGGCTGCAGGACACACTCCTGGAGCGCTGGACCAACGACCCGCTGCGCATGAGCCGGCGCGCGCTAGCTCTGGTGCTGCTGGCACACGTGTCCGACGTGCTGGAGAACGCCCTGTCCTCGCTGCCCGACGAGCGCTACGAGCTAGCCAGCACGCGCTCGCGGACCCTGACCGAGGCCGAGCCGGAGACGGAGAGCGCGCGGGTCACGACCCCGGCTGAGGAGATGATGTGGGCCGTTCTGGCCGCGTTCAACAAGTCCTGAGCACAGAAGCGGCGCCGCGACCTGTGAACCCCACGCTGATGTCAGTTTAGCTCATCGCACAATGAGTCCGAAACTGTCGCAGAAAATCAAAACCAATCTGAATTTTATGATGACGGAGGTGGTGCGTAAACGTGATTGAGTCAACGTGAGGTTTACCCTGCAGTTCCTCCACTGGCCACTAGAGGCGCCGCAGAGGAGACTCACTCCCATAGACCCGCATGTTAAAATGGCCAACTTTACAGCAGAAGAAAAACACGTTTACTGTCTGGTGCAAAAAGTGGTTTCGGTCTCTATCGCTAATGTTGCCCTTCATGACGACTGTGAGGGGGATGAATATTTTTATAAACTAAACTATAACCGTTTAAATTATATTAAGCCATAAAGTTGTGCATAATTAAGGGCGTGGCCACTTGTCACTAATAGCGTTTGTCTGCTAGCGTTAGCGTCACGACACCTCAGCTAATCCGCTCGCTGCGTTTATCCGGGAGTGACCCGGCCAAGATGGTGGCGGCCAGCTCCGCCCACTTTAAGAAACGCTCTTCATAAACCCACAGGTGACGTCACACACACTACACACATAATAATTACAGTCTATGTTCGAAACTCGAGCTCATGTGCAGCGGCTTCAGTTCTGCAGCTAATCCCCTCAAACATCACGCCGGATCGACATTAATGACACTGGTAACACTTTACAATAAGGTTTTATTTGTTTACATAATTTAACTACAATGAACAATACTTTTGATTAACGTTAATCTCATCATGTACGAATATATTTTTAATATCAGAACTCTGAACGTTAGTGACGCACTGTGAACACCTGAGCCCTGACTGACGGCTGGCGGGTCATGCGACATCACTTCCTCATCACGTGACATCACTTCCTCATCATGTGACATCACTTCCTTATGTGGCGCTGCTCTCTTCCTCTCTGTGTGTCAATAGTGGCGTCCTAAATCACATTCTCTCTTGAGTCTGGACTTATTTTGAATAAGTAATTACTTCATGACCACTAAAAAGTATATTCAATGTAGTATGAGAGTGTGTGTGTGTGTGTGTGTGTGTGTAATCTGGATGTACTACATCCGCCATGATGTCATGATCATGTGACCTACTGTCGCTTCACTGTCGCTCACAGTTTTCGACTGAAGTCAGACACACTTCTTATGTCGCATGATGTTCACACACACACACACACACACGTCATGTTCCTCATGGAGACACTACAGTCACATGACCTGACAACTCATTTAGTGAATTATACTGCTATTACAAATTATACTAGGGGAAAACTAACTTCATTTTAAATATCTTTATTTTTCATTTTTCTTTGCAGTGTGTGTGTGTGTGTGTGTGAT